ATTAGTAATATGCATTGCTAAGAACTTCATTTGGACAACTTTAAAGACAATTTAGGCTAGTTATATCTTGGCCAAATATTGTCCTATTCTAACATACATCAATCATACATCAATGGAAAGCTTATTTATTCAGCTTTCAGATGACATGTATAAATATCAGTTTAAAAAATGTACCCTTATGACTGGTTTTGTGGTCCACAAATAGGGACATTTATGTTTTTATAAATGTTGGGCGGGACTTGATTTGCTTGTTCTGCCCTCCTGCTGGAGCACACGTCATCAGAGAAGACATGTAATTTCAGTGGGGAAGGAGTTAATGTTTTAATGAAATATTACAAGGGCATATCACGCTAAACCCATCTTTGGCACAGTGATCCGTTTAAAAGCCTCTGATTGGCTGTTGCGTTCAACAGTCATGTCTGTGATTGGCTATAATGCTCAACGCTTCAAATATACGCTTGTATATTTACAGTACATTTCTAAAAATGGAGCACACTAACATGAACACATTCTGTTGTAGATTATCTTACTGTATGGTGACAGAGGAAGGTTGTGCTGCTCTGGCATCAGCTCTGAGTTCAAACCCCTCACGAAATCATTAGAATTTCTGTGATGGTTTCTATTGTTTTTGTCAGCAGGGTCACCATGGGTTTTGTGATGTTATTTGTCATAAATGCGATAGGATTGCTGTAATATTGTGAGATAGTACGACTGTTTAGTTGTGGTGGGCCTATTTGGGAGAAAATCCAGGGCCGTTTTTTACTCCCAGTCCATCCCTGGATAGGTCCCCCTGATTCCCCGGGGCCCTAAGCGGCCACTTACCTCACTTAAATGTTAAGTCTGCCCCTGCTCTGCAGCACGACCATATTCTCTCTTATCCAGGAATTTTTTTTTTTTACATGTGTGTGTATATATATATATATATAAAGACATGTAATTTCAGTGGGGAAGGAGTTAATGTTTTAATGAAATATTACAAGGGCATATCACGCTAAACCCATCTTTGGCACAGTGATCCGTTTAAAAGCCTCTGATTGGCTGTTGCGTTCAACAGTCATGTCTGTGATTGGCTATAATGCTCAACGCTTCAAATATACGCTTGTATATTTACAGTACATTTCTAAAAATGGAGCACACTAACATGAACACATTCTGTTGTAGATTATCTTACTGTATGGTGACAGAGGAAGGTTGTGCTGCTCTGGCATCAGCTCTGAGTTCAAACCCCTCACACCTGAGAGAGCTGGACCTGAGCTACAATCACCCAGGAGATTCAGGAGTGAAGCTGCTCTCTGAAACACTCAACCATCTGGACAAACTCAAGTAAGTTGAGCAGAAACAATCATTCTGTCAGCTCTGTATGTGACAAATGTTTTCAGTTTCAGTCTTATCATAATGTTTATCATGATGAACAACAAGAATAATAATAATACAGTTCTATGCTTCAGTCTTAGAGAATTATTTAATTACACTTGCTCCATGAAAAATTACAATATTTTATTAGGCTACTGATTTGACTGGAGTCTTCATCACTTGAGTGAATGTCATTTAAACATATTTGTTTATACATTTGTTCACATTTGTAGGCCTTTAATAAGAGCAGATGAATTTTAGATATGTTTGTACCAAACAGATATGATACAAAATAAACAAACAATTATCTGATGGTCAGTGGTCAATGTGTTTACATACTACTTGTATGAAATGGACTAGTAGCACAGTTGCTAGTGGAAGAATTATCAAAATCATCAGTGTTAAATATATATTATTTAGATTTTATTTTTATTTATTTATCCTTTATTTTAGCAGGATAGTCCCATTGAGATGTAAAATCTCTTCATCCAGGGAGTCCTGGCCAAAACACATAAGTTACAAACACATAAGACTAACTAAATTTTGCACTGCATTCATGTAGTGACAGATAAAAAAGTTATAACAAGTACATGTTTCCTTTAGATTAGACCATAAGACATTTTTAAAGAGGGAAGTGTTTCTTTACAATACTCTGCAGCTTGTTCCATAATGAGGGAGCAAAAAAAAAAGAAGGCAGTTTTACTCTTGGAACATTAGTCATGAACTGATAAACTGAAATTCCCTTAATCTTTTGACATATAAGAGGTCATTGTACTCAGAACTTTCTCATTAGTCTAAAAACAGCTTATATTGAAACCAATCTGCCAAAATGACAGCTTGTGGAATGTTCTTCTCAATCCAATTCACACATGTAGTGTAAATGATGAGAGAGGCAAACGCAGGTCTACACAGAAATCAAATGATAAAGATACTCCGAAGACAACAAGATGCTGTACTGTGCCAAGTTGTGGAAAAACAGAGTCTTTGCATTGCATTCCTTCTGATCCTAATGTTAGGAAAGATTGGATGAACTTTATTTTTTAATGAAGTTTCAGACCAGGTCAGTAAGAACTTGGTCCTTTGTTCACTTCATTTTACCACGGATTCGTTTACAAACAAGGAACAATTCGATGCAGGATTTTCAGAAAGATTGAAACTAAAAGACGATGCTGTGCCAACTATATTGAATCTGACAGTAGTCGCACCTCACAAGTGTGAGTATGTTAACTAAATTTATTACGTGGTCACTGTTGCTTTGTCTGTTCGTACAGATCATTTGATATGTAATGAGTATTTATGCGTTTTTGACCTAAATCACAGCAGCGTCTATCTGTGAAGGATGTAGGCTGTCAAACATACACAACTGTTTGCCAATCATAGCAGTGGGCCACGCCTATTCAAACAGAGCGTTCCAACGAGGGGGTTTAAAAACAGAACAGAAAATAGCCTATTACTTCTAAATTATGTTTTTTTATGTAAAAATCTTGATAACATTATAAGGGGATCTCAGAGAACAGTACAAAACAATAAAAAAAGCAGTTCATGACCCCTGTAAAAGAAGTTTAGCAGTAGATCTAGTGCTATAATTACATGTTATTATATAACATATATAAAATATAAATTGGTAATTTACCTAACAATTCCTTGGCAATAAACAACAGCATGTGTACATTTGTGTCCTTTGAAACAAAGAGGACCATCCCACTAATTCATACAGAATACAATAATATGTGCGTGAAGAGGCACTCGTCACAAAGCATAAGGCAGCATGGTATACATAATCCAACTTTTTTTTAGTGAAGATAAGCTTGCATGCATATAGATCACATCACCGTAATCGAACACTGAGAGGAAACAACTTTGTGTAATTCTCTTTCTTGTTTTAAAAGGAAAACATTTCTTTAAACAAAATTGGTGCTAAAATAGATCCCTTTTGGACACCTTTTTTTATTTGTTTAGTTCTGTTGAAATTAAATTTTCAACTGAGACACACAGAGTTCTTTTTAAAAAGTAATTATTGAATCAATTTAACCCATTTCACTAAAACCTACACAACTAAGTCTCTGCACAATATAAGTTTATGATCTACGGAATCAGATGCTTTAGAGAGATCTACAAATAGGGCTGCACAATGCTGTTTACTATCCAGACATGTAATAATATCATTTGTGACCAGCATGGCTGCTGTAATAGTACTATGACCTGAGCTAAAGCTTGACTGGAATTCATTTACAATTTTATTTTCAGTTAAAAACTTTTACTTGTTCATTTACAAAAGATTCAAATACTTTTGCCAACACTGATAACCTAGAAATCGGCTGCTAGTTATCCAATTCAGATGGGACCATCTTTTAACAAAGGGAGAACCATAGCTGATTTCCATGCACGAGGAATAACATTTTAAGTTGAACTCAAGTTAAAAATAGTACTGCTTTGTGACTAAGCCTCGTTCAGACTGTCAGCCCAAATCAGATTTTTGTGCAAATCTGATTGAAATCCAGTCATATTTAGATAGTCTAAAAGGCAACGAACAACATGAAATCCGATTTGTGAAAATCCGTTTCGAGCTACATTCGTATGTGGGCATTTCTGGATATCCGTTTCTATCTGACCGATCAGATCGGATTTAGCGTAGCTTTTTCACGTTCTCATGCCACGTAAAACATAAACATGTCAGACTTTTTTGTTGAAAGCATAAGGAACGTCTTTGCAGAAACAAGCTTGTGTTGTTGTGAACTGGAAGTCGAGCGGAAAAAGACAATACACTGCTAGTATACGCACCTCTTTGAGTTTTAAATCCAGCAGAGACGGCAGCACGGGTCAGGGATTCCATGACCGACAATTTGGGGGGGCAATTGCCCCCCTTGCACCCCCAATGTCGCCCATGTAGGCTATATATATATATATATATATATATATTTAATAATGTGCAGGCAAATATGCCGCTGCTCTGATTTTATTATTTTAGCAATAGCAGGAGGTTCCTTCGACAGAAATAACCACGAGCCTCTGTTATATAGACCTACAGATCAAAGTCTGTCTATCAACGTTCAAATTCTGTTGATTTTATTCCAAATTTTAAACAATAAATTTAGTTTCTGCACTCTTTAAAACAGTGTGACAGATAAAGTGCACTCTTTACTTCCTCTTTACTATTAGTTATTGCATAACTAAACATGACTAAAGCATGAATGAACATCAGAAGGTATGTTGAAAGAACAGAACAACTTACTAAAAAAGTATCATGTGGCATGTAATTGCTCAATTAGTGTTTCAAGTTCGCTTGAAACTCTAGAGAGAAGCATTTTCATTAATATCTGCACTGTACATATTCATTATATTTTTACTTTACTTGTTAGTGATGTCTTGAATAAGTCATGAAAACACTTTTTTACAGCCAATGTTTAAATGTTCACATTTCACCAACAAATGATTAAAATGTTGATTAAAAAAAAAAAGTATTTTAAAATTATTGCACAAACATTTAAATTGCACATAAGGCAGTTTTTACAAGTAATTTAAATTTTTTTGTTTTCAGCCAAGTGCATTCTGAATTTTCATTTGTCTACAGTTTGTAGCTATGCTTTTGTCCATTGACTTGACATTGTTCTTATTATGAAATAAAATATGTAGATTATTGGATTGAGTGATAGGCAGTAGGTTTAATCAGTAACATTATTAATAGCAGGAGGAACTTACAATGAGAACTTTTTTCACAATCACAACAGACAATTAAAACACACTGCCTTAAACTGACTAACAGAAAGACCGCGCGATCCTCTTAACATGGCGTCTAAACAAAACCATTACCCAGAATGCAACACGGGCGTGACATCACCTTTACATTCTCCATATGTTTATAGTGTTTATAATGTTTGTAAACGTTATAGCTTACTTACCAGTATTTTACATTATTTCTGAATGTAACAAAATGCTACTTAGTATGTGACTTGTCTGTTTGTTTTTTTTCCTCAAAAGTTGCTATGACTGGTATGTGCAGTGTGTTTCTTTAAATTACTTTTTTAACCATTTAACTGATAGCATTAATTGGTCACAATTCTTACTTTCAATTAAGGTCATCACTAGAAGCCACATACTCATCATTTAAATATGTGTTGCCAATGGTAAAATATTCTATTGACAGTGTCTCATATTAATGAAGTATTTTCACATATTATATACTATATAATAATAATTGTTTGCAATTTCAAGGCTAGCGTTTTTGTTTGTTTGTTTTTTTGTCATCTTTCCATTGTTGAACACATCAACAATAAATTCAAGCAGCATATCATAAACACAAGAATAACAATAATAAAATACAATAAAGAAATAAATAAAAGTGAAAATAATACCAAAAATTGTAAAGCAAATTCTAAGTCAACTTAAATAGCATTTCAGTGAGGTTTAATCCGTGTGTTGCCAGTCATTCAGAGAGTTTGAAGGCACTCTTTGTTTTTAATTGTTTTAAGGATTTAAAACATTTATTTCATTTTTGAATGCCTCAAAACAAGGAGTTTTTAACAAATTGAAGCCTTTAACAAATCTGCATTTGTGTACATAAAACTTCAAAATATAAAACTTCAATCTCGTTGTTTTGCATAAAGACACCAAATATAAGAATGTGATCGGCAGAAGAAGGCATTATTTGTCTTCAGCCACTTTAACAATAATACAGTAAAAATTATGTTGATTTCTTTCAGGCAGAAATATCATACATTAATATCCAAATTAAATCTCATTCTAAGAAATCTGCTACATGGATAAATGTCATTAATTGTTTTGGAGTGCACTTCTTTCATTAGCAAGAGAAATGACATCTTGTTCTGATAGTGTCAGCTTTTGAAAACCTCTCAGATAAAACATTTCTTTTAAGAGGAAAGACAACACATTCTTTTGTAATTAGTGATCTCTGATCATTAGTGATTGTTACATTTATCATCCAATACATTATAATTGTCAATAAACCAATCAACAGATGTAGGTGTTACAGAAGAATATTGTGAGATACCTTTAGTTAAATTCCTCGAAGCTACAGAAATAGCTCTGACAACTAAAGAAAATCATCTCTATGAACAATCCACATGACATTTGATCTCAAAATTATCATAACCCTCTTCATTTATTAAATGCATTACATTCAAAATCCTTTTACAAACCTTTTATTATGTCAATTATAGTAAAATTACGCTTGTACCACATTTTCCAATATAGTGAGACCTGCATATGAAAATCAGAGAACTTAAAAAGCCGTATTAAACTTGTTTTTGGTGGAAGATCAATTTCTCTTCCTCTTTCATGAGATCAGCTTCCTCTTTTTGGCCGGGTTACGGTTCTCCGTGTCGTAAACTTTTAAGGGGCTTTTAAACCAGAGCAAATGTTTCATGAATCATGTGTGT